AACACAGACGTAAACAAAATAATCTGAGTATAGTGAAGCTTTAAGAGCTGTTTCAAGAGTTCTTGGTGTCGTACTTGAATGTAATCTGCAATGTTAAATTTCGAAAGAATAGTAACTTCTAATGAAAGAAAATCTAGTGCCATTAAAAATCAAAGTTCGAAAATTAGAACTAACTATGCACGTAGAATGATGAACTTCAAATAAAGTGAAACTATAAACTTGATGTTACATTGCAATTAAGAAACCGAGTTTTATATTAATCAGATTATTTTTTTACTCTATCTATCATATTGGATTTATCATTTTGAATTTTTTATTTTTAACTTCAATTCGAATAAAGTATTACCCCATAGATCAAGTTTCATGAAGCCCGCAGTTTAAAATAAAAGGGGGTGCGCCTAAACAGACAGTTTATCCACAAAGGATTAAAATTATCTTGGAAAGAAAAATAAAATGCCTTTTAAAATAACAATTTTATCGATAATGTCGAGTTCCCAAGTGAGCAATTTTCCGCAAGTCTTTCCCATTTGACCGATGATAGTGCATCCCGTCTGAGTTATCTTGATTATTTGACCGATGTCGTCGCGTATAGGTGTGTCGATAATCACAATTTTTTCTCCTGTTCTCCAGCACCATACAATCATCGGGAAATTCGGATAAGAGCCCAGCGACACGAGATAATCGTTTGGTGTGAACGCAATCGCTAAGTAACCACTGTCGCATCCTCCAACACACTCGCAGATTCTCATCATCGAAGGATACTCGAGGACGAGAATTCGCGGGTTCAGCGATCTCTCGGAGAAGGCGAAAATCGGCGAGGACACGTGACCGGATATACAGCGAGCACCATCACCGGTCGCATCATTCCAACACCAATATAGCGTTTGCTGCCTCTTGACGATGTGAAAGAACACGATGTACACGCCGGTACACCAGGCGAGCACGTCCTTGCCGATCCAAACGATTTCTTCGATTTTGCTGCCGCGTATCCAGCAGGGTGAATAGCTTGTAACTTGATCCATCTTTCACAACGATATGATACTAAGCCAGTAAAATTGTTAACTGATTATAAATAATAACCTAAATGAACATATAACCACTTTGACAAGAGCCGAGAAGAGAGAAACAAGTCACAAACAAATTTACTGAAAAAAGTCTGGTAATAATAATAATCAAGTAGATGATAGTTCCTAGAGTTCTCCTAAGAGTTAACTGTTAAGACAAGATCTGTCCATGTTGTTTGAAATCTACAAAAATTTTTGCACTTAAAATGAGATAAATATATATTCGAGCGTTGAAAAGAGAAAGCAAAGATACTGAGTGCAAAAAGTTACAGACTAATGAGGCAACAATTTTTGATTAATTATATAATAACCAATAACATACAATATACATACATCATTAATTAATACAATGTGTGTTGATATTAACTCTGGTTTGTATTAACTCTTATTGTTAAAGGAACTTTAATAGATACTGAAGCTTTAGTGAAATAATTTTAATGAAATTTCAATTAATATAACGAAAACCAACTAAATACTAATTTTACTTTCTAAATATTATCTTATTTTTTTAATTATTACCAAACTATTGGTTACTATTATTGTTATTATATTTACTAAATATTGCATCAATACGCTAAACCTAAATTTAAATAAAATACATTTAATAGCAATTAATTATAGACTTTTTTTTAGTGTTAAATAGGTAATAACAAATTTTGAAAGGACAATGTCATAAAATGATTGATTTGTTAAGTTAATAATTTTGCAAATATGTATTAATAAGATTAAAAATTGAATAACGGATTATGTGATTAACAAAAATTATAAAATCAAATTTTAATTAAAAACGTCTTATTTAATTATTATTTAATTATTATAATTATTATTTAAAAGTTACATAAATTTATAAAACATTGCATTTAACGTTTATACTTACTAACGTAAATATAAAAAGTATTATATATCAAGTAAAATGAAATCAATAATTATTAATGATCGTTATTTTCATCAGATTTTTCAAACGTGTTATTCAATGCCGCCGTATCTGAATGACTGAATGAGGCAAACTTCTTATTGCCTTCGGCAATGTTTGAGACTAATTTCCTATGGAGTTAAAAGTTTCCATTGTTCTCTATTGTAAAGGTAACAACGTAAAAACCCAAAAATTCTACTCAACGTTGGGGGTTAAATCGGTTTTTTTTCTTTTTTTTTTTTCATATTGAAAAAGTAAATCCAGATCAGACAATGATCAGACTATGCTTGATGTTGCGTGTCAAATCTATAAATACTGGATATTGCATTCAACAATAATCCTTTCATTTAAAAAAATTGTTTCTTTAAATTATATAAAATATGTAACAATTGAAACGTAAGGACAAAGATAATAACTTGTATGTCATAGTAATAAAAGATTTCATGAAAAATTAACGAAAGGTCTTCATCCATGCAACATGCCGGTAGCAGACAATGTCATTTAAAAGTGACGGAAAATATGATGTTCATTCATTCCGTCAACTAACGACAAAGCGAAGAACATTTAACCGAGAATTACCTGTTTAACTGTTGCGCCTCCATTGTCTCTACTTAATTCAACCAGTGACAACTATTCTCCAGTAACATCCTTCATGTTTATTGTATAACTGTACTTTAAAGTATCCTGACAGAAGATGGATTCAGCCCCATTCAAACAAGACACTCACACTTTATCGATTCAGCTCAATAAACTGAGGAGTGAAAGAATGTAAGCAATTAAAATCTCATTTTTGTAAGGGAAGCCTACAAACGTATAGAGAATCATATGCAGTTTTAAAATAAAATAGACAAGTCAGACTATAAAATTTGTATGCAACATTTGATTCTCAATCTATCTACTTAAATATTTTAAACAATTTTACTTCGTTTAACAGGAACATATTTTTTGGCTTTGAAGGAACTTACGAAATATATATCTTCAGAATTATTAAAGCTTTTGTTATTAATTTTATTTTTTTTAACAGTTCAAAAATGACAAATAAGATTGTGAAACATTACTCTAAATCATTATTCTTTAAAAATTAGGAAAAACAGAATCACCCATATTATGTTCCAATTATAGATTAAGTAATTATTTTTATTTATTATTATCTTAAAAATAACATTTATTTATATAAATGACGATTAGAATTACTACGGAATTATTAGAGAATTATTAGTTTAGTTTTGATGATTGAATTTCAAAACTTCAACCAATCTCATTTCGATTTTGTGTAATGTAAATATTGAAAAGTTATTGAAATAATTTTTTCAGTCTAAATTCTCTCTATTTTCCTGTCTCTTTCCTTTTTATTTTTAATATGCTTGTTACAAATTTGCTCACAGTCCGCTCGAGAGTACGTGTTTTCGTGCAGTTTCTTCAGGTTTGCATTCGCTGGTGGCGACGGATATCGGGTACCTTCGACAGAGAAGTCAGCACGCCGATCTCTCTCCCTCTCTCGAAGAAAGAATTTGGCAGGCTTAAGACAAAAGGTGATTAGGATACGCGCAGTCGATGGTGGTTTATAAAGACCCCCATAGCGTGGCGTGATGAGGTCAACCAGCAGGGAGTCATCCGTATAGCGAGGCCCGATCAAAAACTTATCCTTGCCACGTGATATACTGCCCGTGGATGCCTGCCAAGCGTTCTCTACTCACTCTCTCTCTCTCTCTCTCTCCTTCTCTCTTCTGACCTGGTCCTGACTGCCCTCCCTGACCGGCAAGTCTGACTGACTGACTGACTGCCTACCTTGAGACTGCCTGATTTCGTATCCTCGCGTATCCACGGTCGAAAGGATCTACCTCGCTTCGTCCGCGGCGTCGTACGTGCTGCACCGTCGCCTCGCCATTAAAGTGACGCCCGCTGAGATTTGTATTTGCATAACCCACCGGCTGCGTACCGATCGGCATTATCGACGAGTGCTTGTGAACAACGAGCGGCGTCGTCTTTCCGGCGTCGCTTAAACCGACTCGCGTGGGAACCTGAGAGCGGGGTACATCATGCACTTCGTTTCACGAGTGACTCCGATCAACTCTCATTCTTCTTATTTACTGTTGCGTGATGCTTAACTCAGTTATAATTTTTCACGAGAAAATTACCTCGTGAAAAAAAATGTATCAAATTAAAATTCTCCAGGCGCACGCAAGTTAATACAAGAAGGAAAATTATCACTGAGAAAAATGTGTTCTGATTAATCCAATAAAAGAATCCAACAAAAATGACATTGGATCTGATTGTCATAATCAGAAATTCTATTTATCCTCACCAAAATGCCATTCTTCTGGACCTTCTTCTTATTGGTTTAATTAGAACATAAGTTATACGAATAAATTGAAATATAAAAATCGACTGCGAGCAAAGGAAATCATTGTTGAGAGCCCAAGAATTCTAAGAGTAATGACCATCAGTCGAGAGCAGTCTATCTTATCGTATAATACAGCTTTTTCAAGCGGTCGAGAATTAAATTCCGCGTCGGTCGATTGAGTTGATACTCTTGCAGAAGATACGCATAGGCTATGCAAGCGTGAACGCCCAGCACCGGGCATTCGTGCTTAACATTTAGTCTCGCGATCTCGCGCAACGACTCCCGGGGGAGGCGCGCGCCCCGTGAGGGCGGTGGAGAAAAATGGTGATCCGAGGCGGAAAGCGGCACAGCCAAAGGAGCATCATCCGCGTGTATACGCGCCGATCGTTCCGTGGTGGCACGCACACGTGCTGCGCGACGAGCAACCGCCGTCTCGTATCACATCGTCCGCACAGTGTGGGAAACCGCGCCGCCGAAAGACAGGGGGAGAGAGAGAGAGAGAGAGAGAGCGAGCCCGAGCACGGAAGGGGAGAGAGAGAGATAGATGGAGAGAGAGAGAGAGAGAGAGAGAGAGAGAGAGAGAGAGAGAGAGAGAGAAAGAGAGGGGGGGAGGGGGAGGAAAGACCGCGAGAGGAAGAAAAGAGGAAGAGGGAACGACTCGAACGCGGCAGAGTAGCATTTAATCAGAGCCTCGCGTCGAAGTGCACGGTACACGTGTACGTATACAAGGAGGAGAGGGGGGGGGGTTGAAAGGGGGAAGTAGAAGAGAGCGGTATATGGTTCGGTTAGTTTTTGCTCGGGAGGTTGCCTGGAAATTGGCGCCAAATTAGTAAGGAGGACGAGGCGAGGCTCACGGTGCCTTGGGCTGCGTGACGCGAGACATTAAAAGTAACCTCTGCTCTTGTACACCCCCGTCCCTCCGCCGATCGCTGCTGCTCCTCTCCCGCCCCTTCGCCCCGTCCTTCCCGTTCTGCCGTCGTCCTACCCAAACCGTCCTTTTCGCTCTTTCTCCATGCAGCATCACAACAACTCTTCCTTCTTCCTCTCCATCTTCTACTTCTTCTCCTTCTTCGCCTCTTTCTCTCCTCCTCCTCCTCCGCAAAGATGTCCGTGCTCCGGAGGAACGGGCAGCAGCTTAGAACTCCTCGGCCTCCCAGTAATCACGTCCGCCCAACGAAAGGAAACGAGAGAAAAAGGAGGAATTCGCACTTACACCGAACGCAGGTCTGCGCGTAGCGATTGGGGGGGTAGGTAAGGAGTATCTTAGGGAGGAGAGGGACGCGGGGGGAAGCGTGTGATACCGAGCCGAGGCCGTTCGAGGATGGTCGTTGTCGAAAAAGGGTATCACGCCAACGGTCGCGAGAGAACCAGGCCGTTCCCCTGCTTCCCGAACCACCGAATTGCCGGTACCATAGCGCACGGAATGACGGAGTATCTCACGAGCTCGAACGTTTTTGTCGCTGGTATCCTTGGTAAATGTGAACGGCACCAGGAAATTTTGAAAAACGGTGAGAAATTAAGGGCGGGGAGACGACGTTTTGTAGCAAATTTGTAGGCGCCGTGCCTCGTTCTTCACGAATGGGAGTTGACGGTGAGAAACGCATGAAACGCAGAGCAATTAACGCGCTCATCATCCATAGAACTCTCGAGAGTTTCTGGAATTTTAAACATACAGATCGTTCGAAAATGATTAGACGTTTG